CTCCAGCACCCCCTGAGCACAGAGGGGCCGGGAGCTGGGCTGAGACACGCACCTCCTACGGGCACAATGGATGTGGCATTGCCCAACGCTTCACTTTTCACCAGATAAGCTGTAAAACCAGCGGCTTCGCACAGCCCTCCCCTGCTAGCGTGTCTTAAAACTAGCCAAAAGCCAAAGCACCCAAAACACCCGTCCCCGCTGCTCCCGGCTGGGGGACAGCCGAAAGCACACCTCCAGCTCCCCGGCACAGACCCCGTTTTCTCAGCAACAGATAAAATTTGGGAGATTTAGGGAGAGAGGGTGATCCCTGCTCTCACCCCTCCGGTCCCCGGAGTGCCTGATGCAGACAGGCTACTCACCGAGGGGCAGCCTGGCCCCAGCAGAGCAGGAGCAAAGAGGGTGGTGGCTGTGCCGTCCCTTCGCCCAGGTCGTCTGAGAGCAATGCAGGGTGCCCCGGCCACTACCACCACGATGCTCCACCTCCCAGTTGCGTTGGTTGTGGTGGAAACTGGCCAAAGAGCTCCCTGAAACCACTGTAATTCGGAACGGATGATGGCAGAAAATTCCCTTCATTGTCTTCCCTGCAGAGCCCAGCAGCTGCAGCACAGCTGGGATGCACCGGGGTTTAATGCCTCTCCACCAAAAGAAAATGAAAAGAAGCTGCCCTTGGAGCTTATCACCTTGAAAATAACAGATCATGAGCAGCCAGGGAGAAGGCGAAGAGTCAGGCAGGGTTTCCTAAGAAATTAAAACCTTCCTGTGTTTCCAAAGCCCCTCTTATCCCCCGAGGTGGACCAGGATCCTATCCTGTTGGGAAATGCAACATGGTTTCTTCCCAGGAATGTTTACTAAGCTCAAGGAGGAGATGGCAGACATGGGGGGGGCACATCCTGCATAAAACAACCTAGTTTGGCCAGGTCTGCAATTTCTAAGAGAATTCACTGAGGGTTTTGGTGAGAAGGCTTTTAGCTGAGGGTCAGGGCAGACATCGCATTAGGAAAGCTCTAGGCATTTGGAGTAGACAGAAATGGAGGAAAAAATCAGTTTGGAAGTGGTCTCTGGAAGTCACCTTATCCAACTCTTGCTCAAAGCAGGGCTACCCTCAAAGCTAGGTCAGGCTGCTCAAGGTTTCATCCAGTCAAGTAAAAAATCTTCAAGATTCCCATCTCTTTGAGGCCCAGCTCCAGTGCTAACCACACTCACGCTAAACCATTTTTTCCTCATGTCCAACTGGAATTTCCTCTGTTGCAATTTCTGCTTGCCACCTCTTACCCTTGCTCTGTGCGCCTCCGAGCAGAGTTTGTGCTCCAGTTTGTGCTGGTATGGCATGTGCTCTGTGCCCCTAAATGTCTTACCCTCCTAATGATCCTCCGCTGGCGGAGATCTCCAGATCATCCAGATCTCTCCTGTGCTGGTGGGGCCAAAACAGGGCATGGTTCCCCAAACGTAGCCTCACAAGTACTGTGTGGAGAGGAGCAGCTGCTGCCCTTGATCCATCAGTGATGCTCTTGTGCTGTTGCTCTTTGCAGCCAACCTGCCTTGCCTCACGGGAGGCACCTGCCAGCTCTCATCATAATTAAATCTGTTTGTGGTACTGATTGAAAAGAAAGAAGACACCACCTGTACAAAGCTGCAAAGGGTTTTGGTTATTGACTGTGGAGATCAAGTACGAGCCACACTGAAAGGATGAGGACAGCATGGTGGAAAGAGGACAAATGAGAGAGGACAGAGCGATAATCCAAGGGGATCAGTGCAGATGGGAGATCCAGACAAGCGATACAACCAGAGTGTTCTGGATCACCCGGCACGAAGCAGAGAGACCCTCGGTGTGAGGCTCAGCATCAGGGGAGGCCCCAGCAGCAGAGCCAAGTCCTCAAACACCCGCAGCTGCCCAGCACCCCTGTGCAGGACATGGAGATGTGCCCCCAACACGCTCCATGGCTCCCTGCTCGTACATGGGCGTGGGAGACTTCCCTGGGATGTGGCAAAGTCATGCACAGGAGGAAAATACCCCCTTTCCTCCCAAAGAGCCTGGAGTTCACTTCCAGCCCCAGGCTCTGCAGAGCTCGCACGCCTTGCTGGATACAGAGGCACAGGAACGTCCTGGGCTGCCTCCAACTCGGCGGCGGGGTGAGTCACTGCTCTCCAGACAGCGGGACAAAGGGCAGCAGCCTGCCTAAAAGTTTGCTCTCTTGGCACCGAGACATTTTCCAGCCCCGTTGGCCTTGCTAAAAGTGCAGGGGGCACACCAGCTTTCTCTGCCTTGGCTGGAGTTGGGATCAACAGACACCAGCTTAGCCTTCGCCCTACTAACGCCTTTGCTCATTCCCTTCCCTTCCTCTCGGGAAAAGGCTGTGCCAGCCCCGGGCTCTGCAGTGCAAAGGTACCACCGCCTCCAGCCCTTGCCACTCCAGAAATACTTTCCGTGTTTCTGCAGGCAACATTTAGAGCTCACCGGATCAGCTGGGTGCAGGCAAGCTGAGTTCTCCACCCTTGTCTCTGCAGTCTGCTCCATAGCCATTAATATACCACAGGGAGGGGATGAGCCAGATCCCCAAAGACCTACAAGGCATCTTTACACTTAGGTCTGGGAGGGGGCTGGAGAGGTAATTAATTTATTTCCATGCCCTACGGCAGGATCAGCACCCCCTAAACCACTGCTGGCAGATGTCTGTCCAGTTTCTTTCTAAGGACTGCCTTCCTTTTATTTTACTTACAGTTCAAAACAAGTCACCTGTATGACTTAATTTTCCTTTGCTGCAATATAAAGGTAGTACCTCCTGGATGGATTTAGAGACCAACTTATTGCGTTCCTCTTGGCAGTCAACCTTTTAGACACTTGGAGACTTTTCACACCCTCCCCCAGTCACCTTTCCTCTACAGAACCGGTTCCTTTGTTCCCTCCCTGGAGATGCTGGTTTTTAGACCTTTGATTTTGCCACTTACCTGGGAATCCCGAATGGCAAACGTCACACCAAGCATGGAATTAACATTAGGAAGGCCTCATCTGTAAGCAGAGTAGATCACTTTGCACATCTCACACTGACCACTCTCCTGTTAACTGTTCCCATTACAAAACGTGTAAGAGACCAGTAAATCAAAAGGAAACTTTTGCTAAATTATTGCTGAATGCATTACTTTATACGTTGTTCAGCAACTGACATTTTGGGGCTTCCAAGTTTGCAAGGCTCTTACTGCAAGAGATAGGAGCTAACAGTAATTTTGGTTTTAATGCTTATCCTGGCTCCATCCCTCGCCATCTCAGCTGGAGATGGTACCCTTCTCTCCCTACCTCCATGAGGCATTTGTTGTTAAACAGCTGCAGTGATTTGCCCTATGACACTGAGACCCATCCAGATAAAAGGCTGTTTATAAGATACTAAAGTGCAGGTGCACCTGGGCAGAACGCTCCAGCACTCACCGCTGGTACTCAAGGGTGACTGAGGGCAATTCTCAAAACATCACTTTGTTTCAGGGCATGTCATATATGCTGTTTTAAATAGTTACTTTGTCACGTTTTTGTAGCTGAAATGGGGATTGTAAAGAAGTCTGACCAATCTGGCTGCCATCTTGCTAATGCGAAAGGAAAGCTCTATAACCCAAACACAACTACAGGCAACGTCTCTTTAACAGTACCACCCTTCATAAAATTCAGAGATGAGAGAGAGGATTCCTCCTTCAGCACCTCTTTTCCCCACCTCCTAAGTTACACACACAGACACAGTGTCACACTCATCTCAGTTTATTGGTTCTGTTCAAACAGAAGTCCTTATTCCAACTGCTGTATTAGAAACAAATACAAAAAAAAAGGCACTAAAAGGATTTTCTCCATTTGTTACAATTCTATGGCTTCAGTCACATTATATTAAGGTACATTAAATTGCTAGCCTCCAGGTGCAGGGCAGAAGGCAAGTATTAGTGCTTAACACCCAGAGTTACTCCTGTATGCTCCAACCCACATCGTGTAGAATGGGACAGGTAAGGCTGACAGAGGCTGAAAATCCCCATCTCCCAGGTTAAGTCTGTACTTGCTAATCCATGCCAATCCCTGCAGGAGGAACATCAAAGTATGGCTCACAGCTTTGTACAGTGTTTGCCTGGCACAAGGGAAAAAACCCACCCTTCTTCGGCAGGGCACAGGGAGGTGTAGCTGGCCAGGGGCCAGCCTATGCATTGCCCTTTACCTACAAACTACAAGAGAAAAAGAGAAATCCATTTGGAAAACAGCGAAAGAAGTATTTTGTATCCGAGAGCTCCCCTGAGAAGAATTAAAAATGCCTTTTTTTTTTTTTCAAGAAGGCGAAATCCTGCAGATGAAGGGTGGCCAAACCTCTGCAGCCAGATCAAGACTCCTCTTCCTTTCTTACAGTTGTTGCTACACACAGGGATAAAGATCAAATCTGACCAAGGGAGGGATGGGCCCCATGTTGCCAGAAGCTCAAAGGCAAATGGAGTACAGAAGCAAAAAAATTCCATTGTTAAAAAGGAGAGAGGAAGCCCTTGAAGATAACACATCCCACACGTAATGCTCCATTATGACCTGAACTGCCAGTATGCGCTCTACTTTTAATAGTATTAATTTCCATATTAAAAAGAAGAGCTGCTGCAGGCCACATTTGGTCTTCAAGCACACTTAATTATCCTGCCCAGCAACTTCTTTTTTCAAACACTTCATTGGTAGGCTAACACTTCACATTCAAACTGGAAGTAATTCCAAGCCTGACCACAATGACTTAAAGTAAACTAGGGCACGGCCTTACTGTGCCTACTCAATTCCACAGCCTTCTCCTTTTAATAAAGAAGACCAGCACCTTCTAATTTTTGTTTTCAGATAGCATCAGAAATAACAAGAGTACCTTCGTCGAGGTTAGAGCAGTCTCTGCTCGCACCTCTCAACAGATTAAACAAGGAGCCCTTGCCCCAGA